ATGCACGAAAATCACCAAGCTCGGAAGGAAGAGCAAAACGGTAATTAAGCATACAAATTTCAAACAAGCTGTGTAAAAGTGGTACACTTTTATATGTGCAAGCAAAAACATATATAAATAACATTACTTAGACACCACCAAACGAATTGTCCCAACTTTTTTCAAATAGCCCAAGTTAGCCAAGGCCAACGGACACGTTACACCCTAACAACACATCATAAACCTACCAAACCACATGATAATTTCAAAAAACAAACAAATCAAACCTTCTCCGCATCCGACGTCAGCATCCCCATCTGCTCCGTCAGCCGTGCCACATTCTGCGTCGTCTTGTCCCACCCATTTTCCTCCGGCGGCCTCAATTCCTCCCCTTCCGCCGCCGCTTCCGCCGCCACATCCTCCTCCGGACACACCGGACTCTCCAGAAACTTCTCCCAAAACGGGTCGCTAACTCCCGGAAGCTCGGGTATTTCATCCAATAAATTCCCCGCATCCCACTCCATATGAGGATCCGGCGAAAGCCCACCAATATCGAAATCCGGCGGCGGCACCACCATCTGCGAAAGCTCCGTCATGATCGAGTCCTCCGCCGTCACCGGCGGCGGGTGGATTCCGGCCGCCGGAGGCAGCATCTCCGGCGAACGGACGACCACCTCCTGAAGGGTCAACCCGCCGGAAACCGCCGGCTGCGGCGGCGGGCTGTCCTCGAGCCGCGGGGAGGAGGAGTCGAGCTTCATGATCTGCCGGAGCATGGATTTAGCCGCCTCGTTCATCATCGGCTGGTACTTGACGATCTGCTGATGTGGCGAGGAGTTTTCGTCGCAACTTTCGTCCGGCTTCAGACGCCTCTTCTTGTTGCCCTCGCTTATGCGGCGGGCCTCGCTTTCGGGCTGCTGCTGCTGCATGAAGTGGGCCAGGAAGCCCGGGCTGTTGACGGCTTTCGCGAGGAATGACATCATTTGCTGTTGGCGTTGTTCCATGCCTTGGAGACGCTGGACCATTGCCTGAAGCTGGCCGTCGGTCGTCTGCTGCTGCTGCCGGAGACGGACGAGTTCCTGCATTAGAACGTTTTTGTCCCGTTTGAGCCGCTCGACCTCTTCTTCGAGGCCGAATTTGCCGACCTCCACGCAAGGGCCGGCCGAGGTCTGGCCGTTGGGCGGCGGTTGGTGGTGGTGGCCGTGAGCGGGTTTCCGGCGGGTGATGCCTTTGAGGAGGTGCTTCTGCCCGCGTAAGAATCCCTCGTTGGCGAACTCCCAGCGGTCGGGATCGACCTTTTTGAAACCCTGTTTATACAAAAGGGTAAAAGAAAAGAAAAAAAAAATGACGTGGTGGGAGTTAACAGAGATTGCTCGGGGAGTTAACATTTCAACATTGAAAGTAAATTCAACAAGCGGACAAATCACCATGAGATTCGCAAAGGACGGGTGTTTCGATTCTGATTCTTTAACGTTTTTATGGATAATAAGTATGAAGGAGTTTCACTATAAAATGCAGACATCGTGTTATGGACAGTTCTTTAGACAAAGAAAAAAAGTGGTAAAACATATCAAAATTGCAATGAACAGCTGGTTAATGATAGTAAAACAGTAGCTTCACAAGTTTCTCATGAAGGTAGCTGGGAATGGAAAGTAAAGTTCGGCTAATTGCTTTTCTTAAGCTAAATTCACTAGAGCCTGCTGAAGTCAGAGATGAAAAAAATAATGCCTCGAATCCTCTAATCTATGAGACATGAAGATATACAAAACAGAAGTAGCAATCAGTAATTTTAATTTGCCGCATTAAGCTCGTGGAACAAAAAACTGTCTCGGCATTACTGCTTCAGAATAATAGGCCTCAAAAGTTTCTTTTGGTACCAATGGATAAGCTCTGCAAGTTAAATGGAAAATATTAACCTTCAATTGTGCTGAACCATTTCCTTACTTCAGCAATTTGAGAAAGAAAAGCAAACTTCAGTTCAGATTAAAGGTAGTATTTCATTGTTTCCAGTATTTCATCGAGGATACTGCTTACATAAAAATACTTCCACTCTTGATCCTCATGGTCCCTTTTCTAATCAGTAAAAGTCAACTCAACTGGAGTATAGAAATGAAATTAGTAGAAATGTTTGACACAATATTGTTTCGATTTTTTCCAATAAATTTGTAATTTCCAGCGGCTCAGTTCCATAAGCAAGCACATGCTATAACATGATACTCATGGTTAAGACTGATATTGGTAAGCTCTAACTCCTTTCAACAGTAAAGCTACCAACATAAGAGAAATCTGGAACTGAACCATATATTTCCAAGTTCTTATTAGATTTCTTTCCTAATTGGAAATTTACTACATGTTGAAAAAGCGTAATAACTTATAGCGAGTCAATTGTCCAAATCTAATTACTCTCTCAAATAGTTTGGGCTGATTTGAAATATAACGAAATATTTGCAACCAAATGCCCATGACTTTCACCTACCAACCAGAAGTTTCCCACCATGACTACATGTTTCAAAAGCTACTTTCAATTTCCATATTTCATTACTTCCTAAACAACAAATGGAGTTTTCAGAAACTGGGCACTCAATCTTATCCAGGTAGAAAGCATGTGGGGCATCAATTACCGTCCATACATCCTTGCAAGACTAAAACCAGCCCAAAACGTGCAAAAGATATTTCAAAACAGCATGTATACAATAGCGGTCAAACGTATTAGCCTTGTCCTAGTTTGCCTACCAGATCAATAATAACTATGTGCAGCTCTTTGATTCCGGTGGTTTGCAAGGAAGCACTATTTACCCAAGATTTCTTAGTCCAGCAACACCATACAACTCCCACATTAAATATATATTTTTTCGATAAAAAGAATCAACTAAATATCACGGCAATCTCTACCATCTGCTAATATATGAAAACTAGTTGAAAGACCAGCCATTCACTGCTTCCGAAATCAAGTCGTGCACCTACACTTTTTTCCTTAAAAAATAAAAGGACTGCACTCCTCTGTTAAAAGCTTAACAATAAGCACCTCTGTCTCGAATGCCCCCACTCGAAAGGCACCTGCCTTTTCACTGGTGAGTGCCGCATGTTCTCCTTTAGTAACTATGCATCTATCTGATTCTGTCCCTAAACAAACAGAAAAGGTTCCCCAATCCTAGGTGAAAGATGGGCATGATATTTACAGTAAAAACATTCGAAATGAAAGATATGGTACATGAACATAAACAAAAAAACATCTCTTGGTAGTATGCAGTCCTTCCCTACAAAAGAATGGATATGCATGGCCCTACAATCAACACATTCAAACAACTAGAGCATTACAGAATATAAGAATAGAAAACCAAACTAGAAACAATAACTAAAGTCTAGGTACTATTCAAAACAACTTCAGAAATGTCCAGAACTGTTTAGCATCCCGTGCTTTTTTTAACTTTCCAGCATAACACAGAGCTAACCATTACCATCTTAGCTACGTATAAGTTGGAGACTGCGGAAATTCACGATTAGTCTCATGTCTGTACCTAAAAGCGTAAACTCAAAATCAATATCCGTAAGCTGCCAGTGGAACATTCAATCAACTTCATCAAAACAAATAAAAATCCCACAGGATTAGATAGCAGAAGCGTGGCATGAAATGCTATCATTACATAGACAAGCACTGCCAGATCAAACACCTTAATAATCCAAATCACACAAAAACAATTATTCAAACTTCATATCATCAGATTCATCTTCGGGAAGCAAACAAACCTCAAATAAGAACAAGAC